GTTCCCAGATCAGTTGGAGATATGGATAGAGGAAAAAAGGCCAGTCAGATTCATATTGGAGTGCATGGAAGAAGAGGAATGGGCAGGAGACGTGGGCCGAGCATGCAAAGGTGCCAGCACTGCCAGTTGCTTGGGCCTTAGCCACTCTTGGAGATGCTCAGCACTCCTCAGCACTGCAGGACCAGCATTCAGGAATGAGTTGATGCTGGTGGGGCTGGGAGCAGGCAGCGCCTGAGTTTAGCAGGGCCCACAGGTGTCCCAGAGCTTCCTGCTGTAGCGGGGCAAGGCGCAGGGGCTGCAGGCAGGAGAAGCGTAGGGTCTGCCAAAGGTGCAGAGGCCGCCTGAGCCCTGAGTGGCCCCGGCGCCGTAGAGGCCCCCCAGCCCCAGGGAGCCCCCAAAGGCGGGTGCTCCGGAGGAGCCCACCACGGCTTGCTGGGGGAAGGAGCTGAGGATGGGGCCGGGGAAGGTGACGACGACGGGTGGTGGCTGGATGAAGGCTGAAGAGTCGGGGCACTGGCGCGCGCACAGCTCGTTGCAGCTCTCAGCGATGGGCTGGGGCACGGCAACGCTGGTTTTGGGTGGGCACAGGTCGTAGCAAGACATCTTGGTGTGATGGGATGGAGCTCTGCAAGAGGGCAGACAGTGTCGCGCAGCGGCAGATGGCAGCAGCTCAGACACAGGAGCCTGAAGCAGGCCCAGGTGAGGGGCAGGAGGAGAAGTGCTCTCCGACTTACCCTGTTCTCAAGGAGATGGCGGACAGAGCAGTGCTTTGGAGATTCCCATAGAGGCCCTGCTTTTATCCTGGCTGGAACGTGGCTCATTAAATGCTCGGCCAATGGGAAGAGGCGGCACTCCCTGATGCTGAGGCCAGGCTTTCCTGCCCCTGCCCTCCCTGAGTCAACAGCCTGTGGCTGGACCAGTTCAGGACCCTTTGCTGCCTTCCCTCACATTTCTGCTTTGTGGACCAAACGTGTAATGCTGAGCCAGCAGTGACCAAGATGAGTGCCTTTGGGTTGGTGTTTTGTCATCTTGCCCCTCTGCAGATAAC